GAAGGATATATATAATATATATAACACATATACATATATATGTGAAGGATGTATATATAATATGCCCAGTTCCTGGTTTCTGCCTTGCTTTTTATTTCCTGGTCCATCATCATGTGAATATCTTCTACCACATACCTCTGCCACCATGACCTGAGTTGTTGCATCACGTCTTGTTAGACTGAAACTCTGTGAATCCGTCGATCAAAACAAATTCTTTTCTCCCTTAAGTTGTCTCTGTCAAGCATTTGTCTTAGGGACACCAAGGCAATCAATACAAAGTGTCACATAAAAATAAAATACTGTGTGCTGTTGTGAGAGCACTCCGGAAGGGCCCCTTCGCCTTGGGTGTTATAGCATCTCTTTCCATCTAAACTAGTCTAAGATGCCCTTAGATTGAGGGATATTTTAGAAATCTTGGGTTATATCCCTAATGATTAGGGGGTATAGTGACCTAGACATTCCTGTGCTTTTTCAAAATGGACTTGTATTCAAAGACAGAATCAATTTGTGTCCTGTTCTGAGCGATGCAACCTGGAGCTGGAGGACCTGAGCTTGGAGTAGGATGTATCACATCCACAAGCAGTGGGAACTCTGGGGTCCAGGGTTTCCGGGGAACCAGGGTTATTCTAAGCATCTTACTCTTCCTGTATCTTCTCCATCCTGCCTTCCTTTCAGCTCTTTTAAAAACAAGATGGTTGAGGGGTGTCTTCAGAGTTTTGCATATTCTTTTTTTTTTTTTTTTTTTTGGTTTTTTGAGACAGGGTTTCTCTGTGTAGCTTTGCACCTTTCCGGAAACTCACTTGGTAGCCCAGGCTGGCCTCGAACTCACAGAGATCCACCTGGCTCTGCCTCCTGAGTACTGGGATTAAAGGCGTGCACCACCACTGCCCAGCCCATATTCTTTTAATTATATTAACTCTTCAATTTATAATTGAACATTCTAGATACCATGTCATCCAGAAGCTAGTGCACCAATCCATTCTTTACATGACCCAGAAACCCAAAAGGGCTCCAGAATGCAGACACTATTTCTCCCTCATTTAATCTCTCATTTCCTTCTCTTAGGTCTGTGCCCAGGCTACTAGGAAAGGATGTAACTAGCAGGGCACTTTGAATTCTAAACCTTTTTTTCTTTTCTTTTCTTTGTTGGTTGTCCAGCCATAGCCACAATCCCAAGATTATTCACTGCCTATCTTGCGATTGTATCTCATGTCCGGTAACTGTGCCAGTGAGCTTTATGATACAACCCTTAGATAAGCAGGCTGAAGAAGTGTGTCAGTTCTCAAAGCATATGGCATCAGAAAACAAAGCAAAATAAAAACCACCCAGCCTCTTCAGGCCTTTCCTGGCGTCAGAATGTAGGCAGGTCTCTTGGACCCCAGAGGAAGCACCAAAATAAATGGTACTGATTTGGGTACCACCCTCAGCTCTTCCTGGAAATGGCCTCCAAACCGGTGCCTTGGCTGCAGTCTGCCTTCCATGGCAGTCAAACCGATGCACAATGTGTGCTCTACACTTGCCTTTCGTCAATGCATGGCCTGTGGACTCCGTCTATAGAGTGTGTCAACTCCTCTCCAGCGTTCAGTGTGCCTGACCTGCATGCCTTGTACCCTGCCCCTCAGTCTCTCCTTTTTTTTTTTTTGTTTTGTTTTGTTTTGTTTTTTGAGACAGGGTTTCTCTTGTGTAGCTTTGCGCCTTTCCTGGAGCTCACTTGGTAGCCCAGGCTGGCCTCGAACTCACAAAGATCCGCCTGCCTCTGCCTCCCGAGTGCTGGGATTAAAGGCATGTGCCACCACCACGCGGCCAAGTCTCTCCTTTCTTAGGTCATTGTCCATTTTAGGGATGATATAGTTGGATCTAGGTGTGTGTGTGTGTGTGTGTGTGTGTGTGTGTGTGTGTGTTCTTTGTTTTGTTTATTGAAACACTATGCTATGTAGCCTTGGCTGACCTGGAACTCACAGTATAGAGCAGGCTCGCCTTGAACTCATGGAGATCCACCTGCCCCTGCTTCCCAAGTGCTGGAATTAAGGGCTCTGTGTTGCAGGCTTTGTCTCCTTCATGGAACTATTCAAGAATGTTAGAAATGGTGGAAGCTCCACAAGGTTGGACTGGTGGGAGGTCCTCATGTCACTGGGGAATTCCCTTGAGGAAAACTCGTGACGTCAGCTCTTTCCTCTTGTGCCCTCTCACCTTCTGAGGATGACAGGGGCGGTCTTGTTCCACCACACAGAGTTGCCATGATGCTGTCCTCATCACAGGTACCAAAGTAACAGGACCATTGATCCGTGATTAAAAATGTACAAAATGGAACGAAACAACCATTTCTCCTTAGTAGCGAGTTTAGCCTGTGGATTCTGCCAGTGGTGGAGGGCTGAGTCACCGATGAGCATCTCTGTCTGTGGTCCTTACTTTTTGTCTCCATTTACTCTTTCCCTTCTGCGTGGAATGCCCATTCTTTTGCCTAGGAAAAGCCCGTCTGCCCATTTTCTTAAGCCATGATGCAATTCTCCCTCTTTGAGGAATCTACTCTGACTCCTCTAAACCCATCTTCTCTAGCCGTGTGTAGTTATCTGGTACTTAGCCTCCACAATCTACAGGGTAGAGTACTTAGAGAGGTGCTTTTTGATTTGCTCTCAGGGTAAAGTCAGATAAACCCATCCTAAACTGAAAATACCGTTAAGTCAAAAAACCACGTTAAGTCTGCCTAATCTAGGAACCCCCCAGAGCTCAGGCAAGCTGGGCCTTGAAGAATATTGGTGGGCTTACCCTTGAGAGCTCATGCCTGCTGCGGCTCACTGCTGCCACGCATTCTGCTGAGAAAATTACTCCACGTGTCGCTATCCTGGGAAAAGATACAAAAACCAAAGAGGTCAAAGTTCAGTTTCTACTGAAGTCGTATCACTTTCGCACCCTCATAAAAGTGGAAAAATCCCACACCAGGAACTGTATGAGTCATGATCAGTATCAGCCGGAACATGGCGTAACAAAACATGGCACAGTGGCTGCTTGACTGAAGGATTCTGCACAGCAGTGTAGGGCAAAGGGCCACTGATAAAAGAAAATCAAGAACTCCAGGGTTAGCGACCGCATGGAGTCCTTGCTATGTCTAGGCTTGAAGTGGGCAGGGGGATGGCAAAAGGGCGGCCCAACAAGAGCTGAGGGCTTCAGCTGAGGCCACATCCAGGGCTGGAGTGTAGCTGAGAGGTGAAATCATCACTGGACACGCACAAGGCACCAGCCTCCCTGCCTAGCACACAGAACGAATAAGATGGGAAGTGACAAGTCACTGGTGGGCTGACATGGAAGATTCAGAGAGATGGGTGGCTGACCTCATTGTCCCTAGGCCCTTTGATCTCTGGCTGGTGGTGCCTGCTGTTCCAATCTGCTGGGAGCCAGTGGGCAAGAGAGCGAGTTTGAGAGAGAGAGGGCACGTCTTCAGTGTGCAAGGGATGCGTGTGTTAATGGTGGCTTTTCTTCTCCTCTGCCCTGGAAGTTCCTCAAGAGCTGAGACCATGTCTTACACTTACATGGTTCCTAATATCTCATAATGCTTACTTAGATCAGTGAGAATTGCGGCGTGCGTGCGTGCGTGCGTGCGTGCGTGCGTGTAGAGAGAGGGGGTGGTAGAGAGTTTTGATCCTCCATCTTCCATCCTGGTTTGATGCGTCTTCCAGTACCTATCTTTCAAATCCTCATGTGTCCAGGGGAAGGTCCCGTCTCACCACGTGGCCTGTCACCTGGCTTTCTGCCTTGTTCACTTTGTCCCTTCAGCTGCCTGACTTCCTTTTTACTGTCCTCCAAATGTGCTGTGAACTGAACACCGTTGTGTCTGCTAGACTCTCTTCCGAGAGATTTACACTTTTTCCTCACCTCTTTCAAATCTACTGCCAGGTTGCCTTGACAGAAATGCCCGAGCAGTGACCCTCGGTGACACTGAACCATGTCCCTCTCTTCATTTTCCACGTAGTGCTATCCCCCACCAGACGTGATGTATGGATTGAGGGTTAAATGTATTCTCCTTATGCTAGGGCAGTGGTTCTCACTCTTCCTAACGCTGTGACCCTTTAATACAGTCCCTCATGCTGTGATGACCCCCAACCACAAGATTACTTTCATTGTTACTTCATGACTATAATCTTGCTATCGTCATAAACTTTAATGTAAATATCTGTGCTTTCTGATATTCTTAGGTGACCCCCCAGTAAAAAGTTGTTTGAGCCCCCCCCAAAGGGGCCACGACCCACAGGTTGAGAACCACCGCACTAGATCGTAAGCTGCACGAAGGAAGACTTTATCTGGTTTGTTCCAAATACCAAATCAGTACCTGACCCAGAATAATTCATATGCCTGTATACACACACACACACACACACACACACACACACACACACACACACACACACACGACGACGACAGAACCAAAGAATCAAGTTTCATTTTTACCAGAAGTCCTGACAGTCCAAAGTTGGATGATTGCCCATAGCTGAACCTTGCCCACCCTTAGCTAAAATAAACTAGTTCCATTCAGTAAATTTTATTTAGTCTGTGCTAAGACCAGCCAGCAGCAACATCTGGTGTGAGAATGTTCCCAGACAGACTCCTTCCTCCTCACCTGTCCCTCGCTACTAGAGGCCATCGCTTCTGGTAAACGACGCCAAAGACTCAGGACACCTGAGCCATGGGACCCTTCTCCTCTCTCCTCTCTGTGAGGTAGCCGTTAGTTCCCCAACAGCAAACTCCACGCTGGTTTTCATCATTTCCGTTTCTCCTTCTGCAGGTTCGTCTCCTCCCAGGTGCAGCCGTCAGCAGAAATTCCCCGGTGCCCTGGAATCATCCTGTTCCAGGCTGGTGGCTTTAACTGCAGCCCTGGGCTTCTCTGTGGGAGGCTAGCTCCATCAGCCACGGCTCTCTGGGATGGCAGTGCTGTGGCCGGGCCCACGAGAAAGGAGAGGGGGTCCAGCTGCTGGGAGCCCCATGTAGTCACAGCTCTCCTGTTCCCCAGCGACTCTGGGACAGCTAGGCCTTCTCAGACTGGAATTTGTCTTGGTGCTGTTGAGGTAGAGGTTAAGTAGAAGTTCCTCTGGGCTGTGTCTTCCAGCCTTTTTATAAATCTCTAACGGGGCTGGAAAGATGGCTTAGTAGTCAAGGTCATTTCATATTCTTGTTTGTTTCATATTCTTGTTTCAGGTTTGGTCTCCAGCACCCCGGGGTGACTGACAAGCATCTATATAACTCCAGTTCCAGTGTGTTCAATGCATTTTTCTGATCTCCTTGGAAACCAGGCATATACATGATGCACACTCATACATGTAGGCAAAACACATATAAAACGAAATTATCTGGAAGTTTTTTTTTTCAAATCTCTCTCTCTCTCTCTCTCTCTCTCTCTCTCTCTCTCTGTGTGTGTGTGTGTGTGTGTGTGTGTGTATGTGTGTGTGTGTGTGT